ATATTTTAAGGAAAGATACTTTAAATTTTTATGCATTACAAAAATTGTGCAGAAAGTGTTAATGACACTCAAGAGAAACAATGACTAAAGTCTTTCATTTAATGGGATGTGTTCTTGGAAAGCTGTAGGACAAAATACATGGATTGAGTATTGAAAGCAGTAGATGACCTATGGATTATGCCAGGCTAAAACACAGCTCAAGTTATACAAAAAAATGAAATGATTTAAATATTTTAATTGTAAAATCATAAAACAAAGGTTTCCAAATCAATTCCACATGGAAAGATAGTGAAAAAGGAGAAGCAAATAACACACAATACAATTGTTATGGCTATAGATCTAAACTACTCTTTTACTCAGTGTCAAAAGTTCAGTGAGTTCAGCCAAGAGAAATGGATCAAGAGGGCCAGCCAGATAGCTCAGCAGACTGAAGCACCTGCTCAGGGAGATCCCAACGGGCGGGGTTCGATCCTTGGTGTGCAGCGCTGGCCCCACCCCCGGGGTGCATTGAGAAGGCGATTGAGACTGGGCATGGTGGCACGCACCTGCAATCCCAGGACTTGGGAGGCCAAACACAGAAGAATCACTATGAGTCCAATTTATGTGGTGAGACCCTGTAGACTCTGGAGACCCTGTCCTTAATACAGAAAGAAAGAAATGGATTGAGTAATCAGAAAAGGATGTAAGAGCTATGATATAAGTAGCATCTAACACAGCCAACATTCATAGCCATGGGAACATTATGGTTGACCAAAAGAAGGCCAGTTATTATTAGAGTAGCTGTTAGTCACTGAAAAAATAGAAAACAAATTTCTTTAAATTTTTTATACAAGAGTGTACAGTGGTTAAAAATAATGAGGACTAAAGGGCAAAGAACATAAATATGTTCTTTGTTGGACCAGCCACAAAGTTGATTTGTTATTTGGTCATCTAGCAATGGTCAAAGGATTTCTAAACCCTAAGTAAACACACTTTTAAAATTCAGCCCGGTGTTTTTATAACTCAGTTTGACATGTTTCAAAATGTCATTAATAGGCTAAGAAAGTACTACTAGAGGAATTTCATTCAACCTCTGTACTTCTCATCATTAACTAAGTCAGCATATGTTAAGTGAGAAATTACTCTGGGTAGCATACAAAGTCATAAAACTAAAGCTGTCCACCAGTACCATGTTAAAAGAAACTAGTGATATTATGAATCTTCTAAACTGGATCTTCAGCTGTTTGAGGATGCCAGAGACAGTTCCCTAAGAAAGTAGTAACTGAACTGAAATATGCAGAGGACAGGTAGAAGCTAAGTGGTGGGGAAGATGAAATAGGCAGGGAGTGTTCAGGCAGAAGAACAGTGTAACCACATTCAAAGCAGATGCAGAGTACTACTGAGAGCACCAGAAAGGAAGGAAAAAAAGAGATGCTGCAAAGGTAAATAGGTTTAGTCTTCAGCTCCTTACTTGTAGACTGTATCAAATATTTTGGTTCTATGAGCAAATGGTACCTTTTATTTATTTATTTATTTATTTATTTATTTATTTATTGATATTTTTAGGGAAGGGTTTACAGAGTGTTCAGGGTCTCACTACTAGATTGGACTCATAGTGATCCGCCTGTTTACAGCCTCCCAAGAGCTGGGATTACAGGCATGCACCACCACACCAATCTCAATTGCTGTCTCAGAGTACCCCGGGGGATGGGGCTAGCATGGCAGGCCAGGGGATTGAACCCCCAGCTCCTAGTCGGCCCAGCAATGGTACCTTTTTAAGTTTTGAAGCAAGAGGTGATATCTCTAATTTACAGTTCATAAAACATTGTGATGTCAGTGTGAATAAGAGATTTAACAGTGCACTATGCAGCCTGGGAGATTAGGGAGTGCCTGCAGCAGACAGAAAGCTGTATGGTATGGACATGGGCAACGGCCATGAAGACAGAATATTGACTTGATAAACGTTCAGGAGGGAAAATCAATTAATAGCATTAAACTGTACACTGGAGAAAAGGAAAGCATAATGTGGCAAATAATTCCAAAGATTCTGGGTTAGGTATTGATGCTGGCAACACTGGAGTAGAACCAGTGGGTAGAAGGCAACAAAGAGCCCAGAGATGACGAACGTCAGGAGCCTTAGAGATAAGCAGATAGCGAACGTTGGTGCTCCAGTGGAATTAAGTTTTGGGTTTTAGAAATTTCCAAGATCCTGAGAACAAACTTGTATGTGACCTGCACACATTTGTTAATAGAATATTTGAACATTCAGAGCATTTTGTGTTGGTGATCACCTTGCCGTGTTGTGAATAACTGCCCAAAGCACTCAGCTGATCGAATGCATTGACTGAGAGATCAAGACATACTGAGAGTTGGGGGTTTGCTGGGTGGATGTAACAAAGTAGTAGAAGAAGAAGTAGGAGTATATTGGACATGAACATTGCTAGACTGTAACTGATAAAGGATATTATTTGAAAACAAGGAAAAAAGGATTAGTGGATACCAACGATGTCCTGTATAAAGGCAGCCTGAATGGGAGAAGTTCAAGACCAGTGTGTCATGTGATTTAATTATTGGTTGAGATGGAATAGTGACAGAGGACAGCAAAGTATTATCAGAATGGATGGAGCAGTGGGATGGAAAAGGAACTCGTGGACAGGGAGGTCAAGGTCTGAGAAGCCTGCATGCTGAATAGCCTATGTCCCCAAGCAATTATAAAGAGGAAAGGTAAGAGGAAGAAATAAAGAACCAACGCTAACGTTCTAATTCCTGGCTGCACAAAAATCAAGGAACAGGAACCATGTGCTGCTCCAGGAGCTTCAAAGTGATTAACAAAATACATTTTTTTTTAGTACTAAATATTTGCAGATTCAGAACCTAGCATTTTTGACTATTTCATATTCCAGCAGATAATTCATTCATTTCTCCCACTAAAACACACACAGAAAATACAGCACTGAAAATATTTTGACAGTTTTGATCATTAGGAAGAAATAAAGACAGTCAAAAGATATTTCTTGTAGGCTCTTGGACAGAGAAAGGAATTGTAATTAAGATGTTGAATAATTTAATGATGTATACTCTCCAGAGCATATCTACTTTTACTGCTCTTGCTATTTCTAGATCCTTTTTTTGAGCCAGTGTGTTTTCATGAGTGCTGATATTCACCTGAAACCTGAATCATTCTCAGAAATCAGCTCTAAAATGGAAACTAGGGCTTTTCCCTCCATCTGAAACTCACTTGAAAGAACTAGAGCTGCTGTGTCAATTGCTTTCAAGAATAATAAAAGCCAAGGTAAAAAAAATGCTTAAGAATGATGTCATAGATTTCTTTTTACAGTGCTGGTTACCTAGACTTACCTTGTGAAAACTTCGGTGCTGAATTTTCAAGTCCCTGACTGCAGTGCTACTTAGATATATGACATGAGTTTGGTATGAATCCCTGATAAGTACAGTGTCATGAATAAGTGACTTATTGGCAGCCTCTGAGATAATGTAAAGACAATTTAAGAGACAAGCAAAGTTTTCACCATGCAAATCTAATTTGGAGAATTTTCTTTTTTTTCTTTTCTTTTTTTTTTAGGGAAGGGTGTACAGGGTGTTAAGGGTCTCACTACTGGATCAGACTCATAATGATCTGCCTGTTTACAGCCTCCCAAGAGCTGGGATTACAGCACATGCCACCACGCCCTGTCTTGGGAGAGTTTTCTTAATTAACTTACAATTATTTCTCCCTTTTACTTCACTGAATTTGTCTGACAAGTTCTATTTTTCTCTTATACAATATACCCACTTTACTCTTACCCTGGCTTTCAAATACAATTCTCATTCCATCCCTAACTGTATTCGTAGCCTTGTCTCCGATGGGCTCCTAGATCTCCCATCTTCCTCAGACATTCTTTACCTCTTGATATCCCTAGAAAATTGACTGTCTCAATTTTCTACGCATCTCTCTTCTTTGAACTGAAGCAAGGTACGGTGGCCAAATCAATTTACCAGTGATTTCCAGACTGCAGCAAGCAAAGCAATGCCTTGGCTCACACAACTATATATACCATAACTACAAGCACCTAGCAAATGCTGTGTTACATGCCCAAGATGAAATACATTTGCATATAGAACTAATTTAATACCCAGCTAACCTTAAAAGAGCGCAAAAATCTAGGATCGTGTCCAGGCAGACATATGAAAGGGCAATCAGTGGTCCATAAAGGAAAGGAGGAAGAAGAGGACCTGAGAGCAGGCATTCTGAGATGCTCCTGCACTGCTCGCCTTGAGGAGAAAGGAAGGAGCTTCCAGGAGAGAATTGTGCGTAGCCTTGAGAAGTTGCTAAAGGCAAGGAAACGGTCTCTTGTAGAACCTAGAAGCAACAGGGTCTTGCAAATCTTGATTTTAACCCAGAAAGACCCCCTGTGGATTTTGACCTCTGGAGCAACAATAGAATAACTTGTGGAAGCCACTAAGTTATGAAAATGTGTCACAGTAGCCAAGAGAAAACTAATACACGAGTTTCGACTTTCTCGATTGTCTGCCTCGGTATGCTCACATTCATCAACAATTCTCCAGCCACAGCAGTGACTAATGTTAGCAGATCCACCTCAGTTAGCTCATTGCATAGCAGTAGGGGCTTCCCTTACTTACTGATGGAATCATAATTCAATGGAAATAAAAACTTCTCCTGAGAAGGAAACAAGGGGAAACGGTGCATTAGAAATGACAGAGGCTTCTGGTAGCCCTGCAGGGGAAGACCGCGCTCCTACGCCTTTACCCGTCTCTGTCATGTGCTACGTCATCAGCGCAGCTACTTTTCCTCCATATAAGACTTTCTTTACTTCTTTTTAACCAGATTGATTCCAAGTCAAATTCATTTGATTACACGTCTAGCATCCATGTATCTATTTCTCTTTTTTTTTTTTTTTTATTGAGAAAGAAGTAGCAATGAGACAGTTTCAAAACAGGTTAGTAGGACAGTTACAATAATTAACACATTGCATGTTGTTGTCTTTGTAGTAGTTATTCACAGTACAAGATGCAGACATGATATCTGCATGCCATCATTGCGCAGGGGCCATGCTAATCTTCTCTGTATCGTTCCGATTTTAGTATATGTGCTGCCGAGGCGAGCACTGTACATCTATTTCTAGGTTATGCCCCAAGAACTATAATATTGTTTATTTTTATTTATTAAAATAGTTCCTGAAACAACTCTTTTTGAAAGACATTTTACAAAATAGAATAGACATCCTGACCACTTGACTTGCATAACTGAATAATAATCTTTAAATGCATAACTAAGCAATTTCTAGTGACAATAATCTGAATTATTTTTCATAAAACTTTTCGAACTGGAATTGACTGTTAAAAACATGAAGACAAGTCAAAAGAGAAAATTTAAATATATTTATAAAAAACAAAGTTGAAATCTCTGTCATTCAACCCAAGATAAATTTATAGCCATCAAGCATTGGATTATTTCTAAAAATAATGTCAAGGTCATAAATAGACTATTAATGTTTTTATATTTAGAGATGGTAGCAGAAAACTGCTTTTTAAAACCCTAAATATCATTCTAGAATGTTGGATATTCCATTTTACCCTTTTTTTTTGCCAAAAAAGTAAAAAATTGTTTTTTATGGCCAAGAGTGATAATTTTGAGACAAATGAACAACCACATGATTCAGTTATGTGGAATAGATGCATACGGTGCTTATTTTACATCTTTTTCCATATCCTTAATATAATAAGCATATTATCATAAAAGATTCACAAAACCATTACATATTTGACTGTGTACCTTAAGAAATAATTTCAAAAATCTATTTGGAGGAATAAATATTTTGACAATGCATTTTTTGTCTTAAGATAATAGGCATTTTTGCCTTTTCAGGAGCAGAGACAACCTCTACTATAGAGTATGTAAAAACCTGAGGAATGGAGAGAAACATACCAAAATAAAAATTATAATAATAATTACTTATTAAATAATTACTACAACATAGGTTAGAGGATATTTCTTAAACTAAAGTTCAAGCAGAAAAGTTGTAGGAGAACAAAACTTTCTAAAAAAAGTACTTCAGATATGTTTCCTTTCCTTGAAGGTTCACAGTCTTTGAAAGGATTCAGCATATAGATTTGGAATAAAATAAGCCCAGATCAAACTGAATATCAACAAAACCTAGGAAAACAAATTTTGAATCTCATTTTTTTACCCTTTCTTCTGGAAACTTCAGGCAGCTTACCTTAACTTTATTCAATTGGTAGAAATAGTCATCCACTTAAGATTGCTGTCATTACAAAATATTGATAAATAGGTAACTGATATTATTTCAAGAAAATGCTAAACTTTTTAATGAAAGTCTTTTCAGTCCTATCTAAACATGACAAATAAAGCACCTGCAAGCAGGCGCAGGGGCCAGGGGTTCGATCCCTGAGCCTGCCGTGCCGGCCCCGCCCCCGGAGCATGCTAAAATGACAATGAGACTGGGCGTGGTGGCGCACGCCTTTAATCCCAGCTCTTGGGAGGCTGTAAACAGGTGGATCACTACGAGTCCAATCTAGTAGTGAGTCCTTGAACACCCCATAGACCCTTCCCTAAAATACAGAAAAAGAAATAAATAAATAAACATGACAGAGCAGAGGGAAACTGAGGTGACAGAAAAGAGTAGAAATGTTTCTGCGTGTTACCGCTGAATAGAACTGCGTTACAGCAGATTCTAGAACACGCACTTTTATTTATAAAACCAATTGTGCCTATTTCCACTTCACGACAAGAATATTTGATGGCCAAATACCTTATCTGAACCTAAAAAAATCCTTCATAGTCTGTTGGTGAAAATGGAGCTCCTAAAAAGCTTGCATTTCACCATTCTGAGTCATGAAATGATCTAGTTCAGTTTTGACAGCTTTTAGAAAATAAGCACTTCATAGGACTTTATTCCATATTGTTTCAGTTGTCAGAATCCCTTAATGTTTCTCTGAAGTTTCATATATACTGCAAAATAGAAACACTGTTTCATCATTATTATCCAGTTTCTTACTTCAATTTGAGTTGACATAAAAATGAGATTATTTGAACCCATCCCTTAAAAATCAACACTTTATATTTTAATGTAGGGGGTTTAGTAGCCTCCAAACCTTTAAAGTTTAAAAAATCTCAATTGCAGGATTAATTTATTTCTTGAAAGCTCATATACTTCAAGAAATGTTTGTCAAATTTGATCTATTGCACACCGAATTATAAAACATCCTTGCTTCTGGGCTACATGACCAGCTATAAAGTTTCAGCCATTACCTCTCTGGCTACCTCTGCATACATTCTATGGTATCCACAGCAGAAAAGGGATTAAATGAAAAGTTATAAAATCATGAAAAATATTTGAAACTAAAAATTTCATGAGTGAATAATAGATAAGAAACAGCGTTTTACTTACCTATGGTCCAAAATATAAATCTGCTTACAGTGAAAGGAAACCTGAATAAGACAGTTAAATTTTACATCTGTATTAGGTTCTTTGCTGAAAGTTCAGAATTTCAAATATTATTTCATGTTGTCAGTGCATTGTAAAACAAAAATCAGTGCTTTAGGAGAAGATTACACAGTTTCTATAAACAAAGCCAATCACACAAAAAAATTTAACATTAGATAAAAATATTAAAAATGTTTAATAATATATAGCATCATTTTCATGGAAAAAAACACCCTGTACCACTTCGGGGCACTAAAGTGTTGCAGTTATTTAGAAGGTCATGTAAAAATAATGATCCATCAGAAAAATGTTGTGAAGGAAATAGTCATTCATATACATTTTTTTCTTTTTTTTTTTTTTTTGGCAGAACTGGGGATTGAACTCAGGCCCTTGCGCTTACTAGGGAAATGCTTACTCTACTGAACCATCTCCCCGGCCCCTCATTCATCTCTTGACCACTAGAATACATACTCCAGTGTTTATCCATTCAAGTTTATGTAAATAAAATATGTTACTTATTTAAGATCATATGAAAATTTCAAAGTCATTTGAAAATAATTGGGTTGCTTTTTTTGTTTTTCGTTTGTTTGTTTGTTTGTTTGTTGTTTTTGTTTTTGTTTTTGTTTTTTGGTGGAACTGGGGATTGAACTCAGGCCCTTGCACTTGCCAGGCAAGCACCTATTCTACTGAGCCATCTCCCCAGTGAAAATAATCGTTTTTGATTTTTTCTTTTGCTGTGATATGAGAGAGACTCAAAATGTAGTATTTGCAGCACGCATTTCACATCACATTAAAGTTACTACTCATTATATTCTAGTTCAAGTGCTAGCTTGACTTAAAGAGCAGTTTCCAATTGGAAACTAAGAGTATTGTAGAACTAAAATATATTTAACCTCTAAGTGCCATTTCATTTATAAAAACAATATACTTGATTTTATTTAAATTTAGTGCACCTTAAATCCAGGAGAGATACTGCATCTGGCTTAGGTTTTACCCCTGCCATGTTTTTACCCAGATGCCAACAAAATGAAAGAACTGGTTCATTAGTGAATACTACTTTTCCAAATAATGTGGTGACCAGTGGCATCTGGTTCTTTTTATTTTGTTCTATCTAGAATGAAGATATTAGGATTTGAGAGTAACCTCCATTTGAATGCTAAAGCTGTCCTTTTAAGCCGCATGCCAAAGGCTGGCCAGATAGCTCAGCAGACTAAAGGGCCTGCTTAGGGAGACCCAGCAATTGGATTTCAATCCCCTGCATGCTATGCTGGCCTCGCTCCTGGGGCGCACTGAGAGGGCAACTGAGACTGGGCATGGTGGTGTGCACCTGTAATCCCAGCACTTGGGAGGCTGAAAACAGGAGGATCACTATGAGTCCGATCTGTGTAGTGAGACCCTGTAGGCCCTGTACTAAATACAAAAAAATAATAATAATAAAATTAATAAACTGCATGCCAAAAGATATGAACTTCGGGTCTTTGATATGTAGCACAGATACTGTAGAGCACTGTGTACACCCAAATTATTCATGATGGTATTTATTTTTTTTAACATGAAAATGTTCAATTAATTTTATTTTTTTATAATTTTATTGTGAAACAAGTAACAATGAGACAGTTTCAAAACCGATTACTAGCACAGCTTCAATAATTAACACATTGCATAATGTTGTCTTAGTGGTTATTCACTGTATAAGACGCAGATATGAGATCCTGTCCACAAACACAATTAGAACAAATCTCTCTATTCACTGAATTAAGAGAGTGTAGCTGTATATCTATCCTAACTATTTTGAGTATACAGATACATAATAGTTGTTCATTTGTATCCCCTCATGTTGATAGTTAGACCATAATGCCTCAGTAGAGTGAGGTTTTAGATAAACAGTGTGAGCACATGTTTCATTGCTGTATTAAAAAGACTTTGTTGTGTTTAACATATAAAGAACTGTGCACGTTTAATACGTACAACTTGATGCGCTTGAAGATAAGTATATGCCTGTGAAACCACCACTACAATCTGTCAAAAACCCACCAAACACCTCCACAAGTTCCCTTCTTAAAATATGTATTATAATAATGCTCTCTTCTGTATTATCTCTGTGTGTGTGTGTGTGTGTGTGTGTGTGTGTGTGTGTGTGTGTTGAGAAAACTTGGGACCTATCATCTTGGTGCTTTTTGAAGTACACACATCAGTGTAGCTAACTATAGACAGCATACTATATGGTAGATCTTTAGGACTTGTGCTTCATAATTTTGGTAAAATACCTCCCACTTTACCCCTTCCCCCAGCCACTGGTGACAGCTCTGCTCTCTGCCTCCATGGCTTTGGCTATTTTAGACTCAATAGATCAGTGATGCTACACAGTATTTTCCCTTTTGTGCCTGGCTTGTATCACTTAGCAAGATGTCCTCTTGGTTTAGTCATATAATCTCAAACAACAGGATTTCCTTCTTTTTTGAAGGTGACTATTACTCCTTCATACATAAATATCACATTTTCTTTATCAGTTCATCCATCAGCCCATCCTGGCTATTGGGAATAAAGATGCAGTAAGTGTGGAAGTACTTGAGTCGCTGTCAAGCTCTGATATATATATATATATATATATATTCCAGAATTGAGATCTCTGGATCTCATAGAAGTTCTATTTTTATTTCA